AAAAAAAAAAAAATCAATCAAGGAACCATCATTTGCTAATAAATGTTTTCAATCACACTTTTTTCAAATCTTTTTCAGGGCATCTGAGTTCATCTCTACAAATAAACTGTTTTATTATAAGTAGTACATGTTCATTGTGAATATAATGAAAAAAAAAAAAAAAAAAAAAAAAAGAAAAACTATCATCAAGGCAGATTTTTTTCGTCTTCTAACAGTATAATATTCATAAAGGTTGAATTTCTTTCATATCCCTTATAATGATCTGAATGTATTATAATGGTCCCCACATTTTAATTTTTCCTGTAAGTGTGAAATTGGTCATCTTATAAAAAGGTTCAGATGAGACTGGGCACACTGGTGGCTCATGCCTGTAATCCTAGCACTGTGGGAGGCCAAGGTGGGAAGATTACTTGAGGTCAAGAGTTCGAGACCAGCCTGAGCAAGTGTGAGACCCCATCTCTACTAAAAATAGAAAAAATTAACCGGGCATGGTGGTGCATGCCTGTAGTCCCAGGTTCTTGAGAGGCTGAGGCAGGAGGATTGCTTGAGCCCAAGAGTTTGAGGTTGCTGCGAGCTAGGCTGATGCCACGGCACTCTAGCCCGGGCAACAGAGTGAGACTCTGTCTCAAAAAAAAAACCCAACTCTCCCCCCCCCCAAAAGAAAACAGTATTAAAACTACTAAAATACACTGAACACTGTTGAGTAAAAGTTAAATGTACACTTGATAAGAGCAAAGAATTCATCCTTTTCTAGTGAATGGTAAGTAGATCCTGCAAGATAGGTCAAGGTTTCAGTACTTTCTCTCTCGTGCGCGAGATGCTCCTTGATTTACAATGGGGTTACATCCAGATAGACCCATCATAAATTGAAAATATTGTAAGTCAAAAATGCATGGCTGGTTGGGGGCTAATTTGGAGCTGTGTCTCACTGACACTGCCCAGTGATGAAGGAGAAGTATGATTTCTACTGAATGCCTATTGATTTTGCACCGTCATAAAGTCAAAAAATTATAAAGTTAAACAATCATAAGTTGGGGACTCTGTGTGTGTATAGGTTTAGTAATTTTTCTCGGTCCCTTGGTATCTCCTTCTTAATACAACCATGACCAGAGAACGGATGCAAAGCTTTAACACAGGGGATTAAGTTCTGCTGATATCAAGCAAGCTTTTCTCTTGAAGACAGTCCACTTTTGTGAAATAATAAAGTACGAATTGTCAGAACATGAGGTTCTGACCTAATCTTCTGAGGGTCCTTGGCCCAAATCTGGCTTGCAGACAAGTTTGATTCACATAGGGCTTAATTTTTTAAAATTTAGTGGCATATTTTAAAATCAGAGGAATGTCTATACAAATCTGGTTTTCCAGAATCTTTTGAAAAAATAAAAGAGATGGTAAGAACTGTCTAGAGCTGGCCAGGAGTGGCACTCACTCTTCAACCCTTCCTGGCTCTCACTCATTTAAAAAATTTTCTAGGCCAGGTGTGGTGGCTCACACCTGTAATCTGAGCACTTTGGGAGGCCAATGCAGGAGGATTGCTTGAGGCCAGGATTCAAGACCAGCTTAGGAAGAAATATAGTGAGACCCCCATCTCTACAAAAAATAATTTAAAAAAATTCACTGGGTTTGACGGCATGTGCCTGTAGTCCTACCTACTTGGGAGGCTAAGGCAGGAGGATCTCTTGAGCCCAGGTGTGGGAGGCTGCAGTGAGCTATGATCATGCTGCTGCATTCTAGCCTGGGTAACAGTGAGACCCTGTCTCCAAAAAAGCAAAAAAATTTCCTTTCTGGCTTCTGTAGGCAAATCCTGCTTTACAAGACCTAAGGAGGAAAAGCACAGACTGGGCTGGGCTGAGGAGCTGCAGTGGTCCAGCTCTGGATGTGAGCTGGGCCCTCTCACCTGAAAAGTCAGTGACAGCAGAGTCCGCCAGGCGCCCATAACGTGCCATGAGTTTGAGCTTGGTCTCCTGTTTCCTGTGTTTCTTGCCCACATAATGCTGTTGAGCCATGACAGGGTCATTGAAGGTCGCGTGGCAGAGGCTGCAGAACTTGTCTGGGTCTATCATCTCTCTATTCTGGTGCAGGGCTAAGGTGGAGGCCACAAGGAAAGGATTTGTAAGGCGTTTCGACAGAGCTGCGGCGAGAGAGTTCAAACAGAAACAATGAAAAAACCCAGAAGGTGCCAGGCTTTCAAGTATGCTGAACAGAAAGAAAGGCGGCGTCACTAGTTAGTCACACTTGCAGATGTGGAACTGCCTGTGTGAATCACACAGTGAGCACCTTCTCTAATTGGGAAAACTGGGAAGATTTGGGGGAGCCCAACGACCAGCTATTTTGTTTAGCAGCTTTCCCTACTCCAAGCACATAAATCCTGATTTTCTCACATTCTGAAGAGGCTCTAAACTTCTGCTATCAAGTTGCCAAATTACAACAGACTAGAGATATATATATTTGCAAGTCTTTTCATCCCTCAGAATCCACTGGAACTGTACAGCTAGTGGAACAAGAAGTTTAGGAATTTTATGCCCATCCTCAAAGTACTCCAGAGCTGGGAACCAATGCATGGATGTAGAAACTGAGGTCCTGGAATGCATACAGGGCCACTGAGAAAAGGCAACCATGCTACGGATGCCTTTTAGGCTACACTGCATGCTAGGCAGAGTGGGGATAGAAGAGAATGACATTAACATTTAGTTATGCTTTTTGTACACAAAATTTCTCCATTGGTTCTCAGAACTACCCTAATAGGGTACGTATCATTTTGCCACATCACAGAAAAAAACCCGAGGTCCAGACAAGCAAAGTGACTGGCCCAAGATCGCCCAGCCAGTGAGTGAACCTGGATCTGTGCGATCCAAAAGCCCACGCCCTCTGCTATGCCAGGCTACCAGAGTGCGGCGAGAACACCTGAAGATGTGCATGCTTTTTCCTACAGATAACATCCCTGACTCTGCTCAGTTAATTCAGTTAATCAGAGCCTGGCGTGGGCACACGTGCGAGTCTCCTGTGTGCCAACGTCTGTCCTGATGCTGACTGAATGTTGCAACGCTGCTTCATAAAGTGGATGCCATGACTCACGAACCAGTCCATGCAGTTGGAATGGTACCAGCCTAGCAACTGTTGCTTTCAAAATGTGGGGCCAGACCCCTCCCAGCAGCGCGGGAGGGGCGGAGCTCAGCAGCATTCCCAGATAGATGAGGTGGCTCAGATGCTCTTTTATCCCTATTCCACTTCAAACGGGCAGTTTTGAGGATTTTTAGCAAGCCATAAGAAATTTGCTGGCTTTTCCCATGAGTTTTCCAGTATAGGAAATCTCAATGTCTCTGGCCATTGACTTTGTTTTGGCAAGTCACTCCAAAAGTAATGTACATGTTGTAGAATATTTTATATGAGAAAATATTCAGTTTGTGGTATTGTGCGAAACAAAAAAAGCAGGTTATACAGTAATCTGTTTCTTATGTCCTCCACAACAACAAAAACACATAGGTGATTGCATGGAAAAAAGGTCAAATGCGTAAAGAGCGCTTTCCACTATTTTCCAGCTTTCTCACAATGAATGTATATTTTTGACATCAGAAAAGAGGTAATAATGGTCATTAAGAGACCAAGGTCATTCTTTAAAAGATACTGAAGAGAAGCATCAGAGCTAAGTTTTTAAGTAAAGCTGGAGGAACTGCTTAACGGACAGCCAATAAAGTGACAGCTATAGAGGCTTCTCTCTCAGGAAATAACCCAAAATGTGGAAAAAGTGTTCTTGGGGATGTTCACTATAGTGTTATTTATAACAACAAAAAAAGGGAGGGGGAAACTTAAATGTTCAACATTAGAGGTATGATTAAATGTGGTATGATGGAGTCTAAAACTGTTTATGAAAAGTTTTTAATAACATAGGGAAATATAAATGTTATATTAAATGAAAAAATATAAAAGGAATCATATCCAACATGATCATATCACTGTTAAAAGACACATGTGTAATCTATACATGTACACCAGTATTTTGAAAGGTCACCAACATATTAACAGTGTTTCTCTCTTTGTGGTAGGATTTGGGTAGCTTTAGCATTATTTGAACTGGAATTATCATGATGGGTATACATTGTTTTTATAAAAACAGTATGGTTATTTAAAGTATTCTATTTACATGTACATATACATGGAGTTAATCTAGATATATATAAAACAAATATACAAAGAGATATACACACATACACATAACAAAAGATTATAGGAGAAACAGTACTCCAAAATGTTAACAGTGGTTAAATTGGTAAATAGTAAAATCACGGGTAATTTTCTTTTCCATTTATCTCTATTTCCATATTTTCTACAATATGCTTGTATTACTTTTACATGAGAAAAATGTTTAATTTCAGAAATATAGGTATAAAGTCATGTAATAACATGGAAACGTGCTTAACTATAAAATTAAATGAAAAGTAAAAGCAGGATACAAATGGCACATGCACAATGATTACAACTATACAAAAACATACTTGCATGTGGCAAAGGCCAAAAATGAATATGGCCTTGAGTAAATAAGAAAATAATCTCTTGAGTAATGTTCTGAAGCAGGCCTATTACAGAGAATTTTCACATTTGTGGAAAGACATGTCTGCGACCTTATAAAGTTCCGTTCTCAAGTTTCCCTTGGCGGAATGCTTAAAACTTTTTGGTACAATAATTGGTACCAACACTGAATTTAAACAAAAGCAATTAGTACTGGTTATAAGTTAATGATGAATCAATCATAAGCAAGGCCAATGACATGATCCAGGTAATAGATGCCTGACCAACTACTGTATTTTACGGGGGAATTCTACTCATGAGCTATCTTACTGATGATAGTAACAATAATAGCAGCTGTCATTTACTGAGCATTTATTATGTCCTCGTTTTTTTATGAGCCATGCAGGAGACTTAATGTCCTAGGTTTTTTTTTTTGTTTTTTTTTTTGAGACAGAGTCTCGCTTTGTTGCCCAGGGTAGAGTGAGTGCTGTGGCATCAGCCTAGCTCACAGCAACCTCAATCTCCTGGGCTCAAGCAATCCTACTGCCTCAGCCTCCCAAGTAGCTGGGACTACAGGCACGTGCCACCATGCCTGGCTAATTTTTTCTATATATATATTAGTTGGCCAATTAATTTCTTTCTATTTATAGTAGAGACGGGGTCTCGCTCTTGCTCAGGCTGGTTTCGAACTCCTGACCTCGAGCGATCTGCCCGCCTCGGCCTCCCAGAGTGCTGGGATTACAGGCGTGAGCCTAGGTTTTTAATACATATTATTTTATCCTCATAACCTATGAAGTAGATAGTATTATTAACATTTTATAGGTGAGGAGACTCAGACATGAAGAAGTCATACAAATGGCATATAGCAGTGCCAGGATTTAAAGCTGGGTCCCAGCGACTTCAAAGTCCCATATTCTGTTGTTTAGTATCACAAATAACTAGATTTGAGTGAGATGAAAGGGCATAATTATGAGAGATTTTTCACCTTATCTTCAAAGCCTTCCAAAATGTCAGTAAAACAAAAAGGTTAATAGTATTATTAATAGCGAAGTCTACTTCTTGGTCCAAAATAGAGAAGCAAAAATCGCCAGGAAAAGAAAGAAAGATCAAAGAACTTTTACTCTTAACTAATTATGGTTAGCAGAGCTTAAAACTCCAGAAAGTTAGGAGTTAATGAGATGAAAGTGAGGGCTAAGCCCCAGTGGTGACGAGATAAAGGGGCTACTTTAGAAGTCACCGCACTGGGATGAATTCATGCCAGCTACAAACGGCTTGCTGGGCAGTGGTAGCAGCACTAAAGTGTTCAGCTTTGAAAGGCAAGTCCCTGTCTTGAGGAGAACAGGCATTATTTGAGGATTAAAGTGAGCAGGGCATAACCTGAGTAAAGAAAAAAGACAAGCATTTAGCTTTCAACTTGGAACACATAGTAATAAGGGCAGGTGGATGCTGGGATGGAAAGCCCTAAGTAGGAGAGGTAGAAGATGGAATGTTCTCACAGTATGTGTGATCTGGAGGACTTTGATACTCTTGAGTTACAATCATTAGTCAGGACAAAAGCTCAGCCTAAGAAGCTTCTACAGTGAAAAACTGATATAACCAAAGAAAGGGAGGTGGCGTGAGCACAACTCTGAGGCTGCATTTCAAGGAAGCTGGGTCTACTTCAGTATTTTTATGGGTTCTCAAAAGCAGTTCAACCTCTCCAAGTCTGTGGCCCCAGTTAGCATTTCTGGGAGCACCTGGCAATGGTGCCCTAAGGACAGGAGGGGTCCCAATACAGCACTACTCAGGAAAACCAGTACCTTCCACCTTAGTGGATTGCTGCTTCAGCTTTAAGTTCTTTGCGTGGGTCTTCCCCAGGTAATGCGACTGGGCCACGACAGGGGAGGAAAAGGTCATGTTACAGATGGGGCAGCACTGGTTCTTGTCTTTGCTTCTGCTGCTCTTCTGGTTGGGAGAAAGAACACAGGTCTGATCATGCCACTGCCCAGCCAGAAAATCCTCAATGGTTCCCCACTGCCCATAGGCGCATGGGCATTTATGGCCCCCTTCACACATTAACGGAAACCTACTTTCTGGATTCTTCTCCAGCTACTTCATCCCAAGCTCTACTCACCATCCCCCACTATTCTGTGTTGCTTCCTTGCTTTGCTTGGGCCATTCCTGCTATCTTGAATATTCATCCTTCTTTTCCTGCTTGGCATTATTATGTCTGCTTAGCCTTCAAAGCCCAGTTTAAATATCAGCTTTTCTTCTGGGATAATTCTACCCAGAAAAATCATTCAGCAAACAATAATCAAGCCCCTTTGTATATGTATTTCAGCAAGAATTATTCTTGCTTCTCCTTTTACTCCTAGAGAACATTAAATAGACCTCTATCATACCACTTGCCACCTACACTGACAGTGTCATAGCTTAGGAGACTTTTCTGTGAACTCAACTGCAACATTTGGGTGTGGACTATCCGACTCATCTTTGTTTCCTATCTCTTGCGCCCTGCTGGAGTCTGGCACACAGTCAATGCTCAGGGTTTGTTGAACAAGCAGATCGTTGAGTTTTATTTTTGATTATGATTAGGCTAGAAAACAACGTATTTCAAGCCTATTTTTTTTTTTTTCTTTCTTTTTAGTGCATCAAAGCTGTCATAAGGCCTATTTTTTTTTTTTGAGACAGAGTCTCGATTTGTTGCCCAGGCTAGAGTGAGTGCCGTGGTGTCAGCCTAGCTCACAGCAACCTCAATCTCCTGGGCTCAAACAATCCTGCTGCCTCAGCCTCCCGAGTAGCTAGGACTACAGGCATGCACCACCATGCCCGGCTAATTTTTTCTATATATATTAGTTGGCCAATTAATTTCTTTCTATTTATAGTAGAGACGGGTCTCGCTCTTGCTCAGGCTGGTTTTGAACTCCTGACCTCGAGCAATCCTCCCGCCTCGGCCTCCCAGAGTGCTAGGATTACAGGCGTGAGCCACCACACTGGGCCTTTCAAGCCTATGTTAAGGGGCTCCCAACATCTCTTTGAGAAAGTCTGATCTCTGAATGGGGGTATTCATTCAGCATTTGTCAACCTTGGCACTGTTTTGGGCTTGATATTGTTGGTAGTGGTGGCGTGGGGGAGGCGGACGGGCAGTAGGTAGCTGCTTCAATCTCATTTGAACTACTGAGCCATCCATCCTGAGAGTTGAAGAACCAAGGTGTAAAGATATAAAATGACTTGCCCAGGGTCACACACTTGATCTTGTCTTCCTGAGTTCAAATGAGTCCAGTGAATTTCAAGAAGGGACAAGCAAGGCCCTTCCAAACCTATGGCCACTATAATAGGAGGCAGCAGTTTATAGAGTAAACTTTTATTTATTGAGCATGTACTAGGAATTGGAATTTTACTTCACAATACGCTGAAGAGGTAGGAATCAACTCCACTTTATGGGTGAAGTTTGGGGAGATCAAATGACTTGACCAGTAAGCTGCAGAGCCAACCCTGAGCCCTAGTCCGCTGACTTCTCACCCCATGATGTTTGCAGAGCCTCCCACTGGACAAAGATAATGGTACTTCTGAAGGGTTTGGGTTGTTTCAGCATAATTCTCACAGTATTTCTGCGCCAAAAAGCAAACCTCTCAATTAAGAGTAGGCATTTGGAAAGGGTTCCTTCTACTTGCTTCTTCAAAACATTCAAGTGCTGACCTCAGTTCTTTTCCCTGGCTCTCAAGAAAGCAAGTAGCCTTGCTTTGTTCTACATTCTCTCCTTGAGCAGTGAGTGGGCCAAGCTTCTTGTTCTGCTCCAACAAACCACGAGGTGGTAATGCATGACAACGGCTCTACTACTGAGTCCTTACTATGTGCCAGGCTCTCTTTCGGGCGCTTTTTATAAACCTTCCCTCATTTTAGTGAAGAAAAATCCTGAAAGATAGTTGACATTAGCATCCTCATTTCTACAGAGGAAGAAATCAAGGCTCAGAGAAGTAATAAGCTGGCCCAAGCCACACAGCATGGCTGGGATTGGAGGCCACGTCAGTCTGACTCAAAGCCCATGCTCTTCACCACGGCGACCTGCCACCGGCTTCTCCAGGAAGGGAGCGGCTCAACATGGCAGCTGGATTACCTGATCTGAGTCTAGCTTCTTCGTTTCCCCCTTTAATGTCTCCATTCCATGGATTGCTAGGTATCTCTTCACTTTGTTGGCATGTTTTTTGCTCTGCAAAAACCCAGGAAAAAGATCAAAGATAGCCAAATGCCATTTCATATCTAAGGCACTCAAAAACACTTACTAGATTTTCATCTGATTTATCCTCACAGATATTTCTGAGGAAGAGAGGGCTGGGGAAGAAACTTAGTTTATTGGGTTCCTATTCTGCGAGCGAGGCACTTCACAGCTATCAAATTTCATCTTCACAACAATCTATGAGAAAATTATTATCATCTCTATCTTACAGATAAGGAAACTGAGGCTGAAAATGATGGAGGTTTCTTGCCCAAGATGAGTAGCAGAGTTGTGACTCAAAATCACGTCTATTTAAAGCCAAAGCTCATACTTTCTACTATGCCAAGCTCCGAGGAAAGATAGACAGATAACGATCCTGGTTTGGATGGGAGAGATGAGAGTCAGAGAAATTAAGTCAATCTTCAAGTCACAAGGCAACATGCATGGGGGCAACATCTGGGTGGCTAAGAAGCAATTACAGCTCACCGTGCAAGCCAGGGAGAAGTGGGGGCTTGGCACTGCGTCCGGAAAGCGCGGTGACATACCTGGTAGTGTGCCAGCTTCTGGGACTCAGAAATGAGCAAGGCGCAGCACACCTTACACTGGGTGTTGGTGAAGAGACACTGGTTCTTCTCGATCATGTGCTCCACTACACAAGGAAAAATAAAAAATCTTTAAGTTACTAAAAAGACTACCTCGACAGCACTGTCTCTGAACCCTGCCTCAAACACAGGCACCGAGTAACGGGATGCCATGCTAGTACACAGGCAGACCCCGGCCACCCTCCCCTAATCATGACTGATGCTGTCTTCTCACAGCACCTGCACTATTACTTACTCCATAATTTTATGTATAGCCAAGTTACTGAGTGACTTCTTTTAAAAAAGGAATTCTCAGATCATAATTTAAGTGGATACCAATAAAAATAACTACAATAAAAATGAAATAATTCCACCAGATACTGGTGCCAGAGAAGAGCGGCAACTGTACAGAGAGGTTTAAAGATATGGGATATGGTGGTACTCAGCTAAGACTTCTTCCCAGATAGAACCAGGGGCACTGGAAAGACTTAAAAAGGGAATCATTTTCTTACTATTTTGAACTGACTTTGAAATATCTAAAAATTACATATTACAAGTTACACATTATAGGAAACATGGTATTAATCTGTGCTTAACTATGGGCCAGGAGAACAAAGCTTTACCTCTTTGAGGGAATAAAATCTCCCCCAAGGCATGAGTTCCATCATGGCACCAACAATCTGAGGCGGAGGCCGAGTACTTGGAGAGGAGGGCAAGCCCACATTTTAGATATCTAGTCTTGACCAAAAAGTGGTCAACATGCCCTGGGGAGAGGTTATTGGTGGGGAACTTTTGAGACGCCTCTTCCTACTCCACAAGATCTAAAGCTTAGCTATGCCAGCCCTTCTGGGCAGAAGAGTTGTTGTCTGGCTGTATTTTTTCTTTTCTCTTTTTGAGACAGAGTCTCACTCTGTTGCCTGGGCTAGAGTGCTATGGCATCAGCCTAGCTCACAGCAACCTCAAACTCCTGGGTTCCTGCCTCAGCCTCCCAAGTAGCTGGGACTATAGGCATGTGCCACCATGCCCGGCTAATTTTTTCTAATATATTTATAGTAGGCCAATTAATTTCTTTCTATTTTTAGCAGAGACAGGGTCTCGCTCTTGCTTAGGCTGGTTTCGAACTCTGACCTTGAGCAATCCACCTGCCTCAGCCTCCCAGAGTGTCTGGCTGTATTTCTGCCCCTTAGTATCTTGTTTATTTCCTCATTTTTCTCCTACCATGTTTGGTAAATTTTTGTGAAACACCTTGCCTCCCTTGGCTCTCTGCAGAGAAACCAAGAAAAGTGGTTTTATGAACACAGTTGGGCCAGAGCTTTTTTTTTTTTTTTTTTTTTTTTTTTTTGAGACAGAGTCTCACTTGTTGCCCAGGCTAGAGTGAGTGCCGTGGTGTCAGCCTAGCTCACAGCAACCTCAAACTCCTGGGCTCAAGCGATCCTCCTGCCTCAGCCTCCCAAGTAGCTGGGACTACAGGCATGCGCCACCATGCCCGGCTAATTTTTTCTATATATATTAGTTGGCCAATTAATTTCTTTCTATTTATAGTAGAGACGAGGTCTCGCTCTTGCTCAGGCTGGTTTCGAACTCCTGACCTTGAGCAATCCGCCCGTCTCGGCCTCCCAGAGAGCTAGGATTACAGGCGTGAGCCACCGCGCCCGGCCTGGGCCAGAGCTTTTTAAAGGAAGGTCACAAGCTTCTCACAATGAGAAGCCCACAAGGGGAAAATGACACCCAGGGTCCAAGTCCAGCCATTCCTTCCTTGCCTGGAGATTGTGGATTTTTTTTTTTTTTTTGAGACAGAGTCTTGCTTTGTTGCCTAGGCTAGATGAGTGCCATGGCGTCAGCCTAGCTCACAGCAACCTCAATCTCCTGGCTCAAGCAATCCTTCTGCCTCAGCCTCCCAAGTAGCTGGGACTACAGGCATGCGCCACCATGCCCGGCTAATTTTTTTTATATATATATATTAGTTGGCCAATTAATTTCTTTCTATTTATAGTAGAGACGGGGTCTCGCTCTTGCTCAGGCTGGTTTCGAACTCCTGACCTCGAGCAATCGGCCCGCCTCAGCCTCCCAGAGTGCTAGGATTACAGGCGTGAGCCACCACGCCGGGCGTGGATTTTGTTTTGTTACCTTTAATGGGGTTCCTTTTCAAGGGTATTCAGAATCTGACTCCTGAAGACCAAACAGGAGAGGGACCATGTCATTTACGACTTTGTATCCCAATTACTTGGTACAATACTATACCCACAGCAGGGGATATGGTGGTACCTGCCGAATGAATAACATGCCCCTCTCTGCTGGAACCCACTCTCTGGCCTCAGAAAGTATACTCACATGGAACGCACACGTGTGTTCTGAGTGCCTTCTATGTGTCAGCACGGGGCTGAGTGCTGGGGCCACCCCAACAAATAAGAAAGGGTATAAAGTAAATAAATAAGATGAAGACAGAGAATTAGAAACGCTGTGAAAACAAGCAAACAAGCCTGGCACTGCGGCGAGTGCCTGTAGTCCCAGCTGAGGTGGGAGCTGAATTGGGAGGATCACTTGAGCATAGGAGTTCAAGGCTGCAGTAAGCTATGATCACACCACTGCAGTGCAGCCTGATGGACAGAGTGACTCTAAAACTAAATAAAACAGGCTGTCCGGTGCGCGGTGGCGCGCTCCCACGCCCTGTAATCTCCCCTACGCACTTTGGGAAGGCCGCAGGCGGACGCGGATGCTCAGAGCGCTCAGGGAGTTACGGAAACAGCTGAGGCGAGACCCGGTCTTACAAAAAATAGAACAAATTAATTGACCGGTAAACTAAAAACGGTACTTATAGGAAAATTAGGCCAGGGGCGATGGTGGCGGTATGCCTGTGTGTCCTCATTGTTTACTCGGAGGCTTGGAAGGCGAGAGATCGCCTGAGCCGCCGGGAGATTCGTCGACGGTTGCTGTGATGCCCACGCAGCTGACGCACCGGCATCACTGCTTAGCCTGGGGCAACACAAGTGAGACTCTCGTCTCAACAAAAAAAAAGAAAGGAAAAAAAAAAAAAAACAAAAAACTAAATAAACAAACAAAAACAAAAGAAAACAAGCAAAGTAAGTGGTAGAGAAAGACGCAGCAGGATAGTCAGCAAAGAGCACCAGAGGGAGGTGTCAGCCACCAGCAGCAGGGCTGCAGGAAGAGTGCTCCAGCCTGAAACAGTGTTAAGTCTCTGAGGCAGGGATGGGTTTCGCACGTTCAAGGCATGGAGAGAAGGCCAGCGTGGCCGGAGTATGGTGAATGGGGGAAAATGGTAGGAAATAAAGTTGGAGAGACAGCATGACATCTACTAGATCATGCTAAATAAATATAAGGTGTCACAAGCCACAATATGAACTACAGATTTCGTTCTTAGTGTAATGGGAGGTGACAAGATCTGATTTGTGCTTTGAAAAGATTGGGACTGGGTGTAGCAGATCACATTTGTAATCTCATCACATTGGGAGGCTGAAGTGGGAGGACTGCTTGAGGTCAGGAGTTTGAGATCAACCTGGGTAACACAGCAAGATTCTGTCTCCACAAAAAAATTTTTTAAATAAAAAAAAAATGATTACCCTGATAATTGTATCAGCAGACTGTATGCTGACAAAAATAGAAGGAGAAAGAACAGGAAGGAAGCTATTGCAGTCTTCAGGAAATAGATAATGGAACCTTGGACTACGGAGGTAGAGCAAAGTGGGCAGATTTGGAATTATGTTCTGGAAGTAGCTTTTTTAAATTATTATTATTATTATTATTTTTTTTTTTGAGACAGAGTCTCACTTTTGTTGTCCAGGCTAGAGTGAGTGCCGTGGCGTCAGCCTAGCTCACAGCAACCTCGAGAACTCTGGGTCACGATTGCCTCCGTCGCTCAGCGGCTGGCCTCCCAAGTAGCTGGGACCACAGGCATGCGCCACCATGCCCGGCTAATTTTTTGTATATATTTTTAGTTGGCCAATTAATTTGTTTCCATTTTTAGTTGAGACAGGTTCTTGCTCTTGCTCAGGCTGGTTTCAAACTTCTGACCTTGAGTGATCTGCCCGCCTTGGCCCCCAGGGTGCTAGGATTACAGGCGTGAGCCACTGTGCCCGGCCTGGAAGTCGCTTTGACATCCAACCAATTTCTTAGAATGGATGTTGGGGTAAGGGTGAAGGAAGAAAAGGAATCAAGGATAACTCTTATCACAGTTTTTTTTTATTTTTATTTTTAAAATTTCTTATTACTTTAGACATCCAAGTTGTGTTATTTTAATTTATATTTTTGAGAGACAGTCTCACTCTGTTGCCTGGACTAGAGTGTCGTGGTGTCATCATAGCTCACAGCAACCTCAAACTCCTGGGCTCAAGTGATCCTCCTGCCTCAGCCTTCTGAGTAGCTGGGACTACAGGCATGCGACACCACACCTGGCTAATTTTTCTATTTTCTTTTTTGTAGAGACGGGGGTCTCACTCTTGCTAAGGCTGGTCTCAATCTCCTGGCCTCAAACAATCCTCCCACCTTGGCCTCCCAAAGTGTTAAAATTACAGGCATGAGCCACAGTGCCCGGCCTCTTATTAGGTTTTGAACTTGAGCAGCTGAATAGATTAGAATTGAAGGAAGACAGCCTTGGGGGAGAAATTAAAGACTTTTCCTTCAGCTGTGTTAAATGTGAGTGGTCTATCAGAAATACGGTGGAGGTAAGTTGGAGATTCATATCTGTCAGTCAGTTGAAGCTCAAGAGGGAGGTTAGAGCTAGAGATATAAATCAGGAATCATCAGCATATCAACCATATCTAAAGCTACGGGACTGGAAGAGAATATCTAGTGTAGATGAGGGAGGAAAAATGTCCCGGAACTGAGTCTTGGAACCCTCCAAATTCTGAAGTCAGGTGGAAGTGAAGCTGCATATAAAACCAGGTGAGTACAGGGTAGGACTTCTGGCTGTGGCAGAGTGAGGAGATCCTCTCCCTCAAAAGCAACTACAGGCTGGGCGCGGGGGCTCCCGCGTGTCATCCTGGCACTCTGGGAGGCCGAGGCGGGCGATCGTTTGAGCTCAGGAGTTCAAACAGCCTGAGCAGAGCGAGAC